CCCCAAAACCCCAAAACCCCAAAACCCCAAAACCCCAACAAATTCTATAAAAATTGAAAAATAAATAATAAACTATCAATGTCAGACATTTCATACGAGCAGTATATCCCAGGTGACTCCAAAGGTACCCTCAAGTTCCCTTAACTCCTCGCTCACATCCATTCTAATGTGCTCTATATAGATGAACCTGAAGTTCCCGAGCAAAACAGAATTAAGTTCATGAAAGCGGTTAATAGACTCCTACAGCTCGATGACTCGGTTGTCGATGCGACTTCACAAAGGTTCAAGAATATTATTGACAACCTGATACTCTGCCTCAGTGACTCTCATACTGAAACAAGCGAAATGGCAAGAGAGATACTAAGGGATTTGATAAAATAACTACAAAAACTTCACAGAGATCATTCCTAAGCTAAGTTTTGTCAACAGACAAGACCTCCTCTATGTTATTGGAAGGACCGATGTCTTATTCAGATCAACTCTTAATTTTTCAGGGTTTAATACTATCAAATCTCAGTCCTTGTATCGAAAGACTGGTCTTACCATGGGTAGTGACCGATACAAGAGTGAGAATATGAGCACTCAGCTTCCAGAGGGTTCTGTACTAGGGTCCACCTCAATAATAGACAAACCTACTATTAGACCTAAAGATTCACAGAAAAAGTGATTTGGAATCATTCCAACTGTTTTAATTAAGCAGTTGGAACCTTCTAACCTTTACGAAGACAGAATCAGAGCGATCACTGAGATCTCACAAAAATATGTAGAAGATGATGACAACTTTGAGTCATTAATCAAGAATTTAAATAAGTTTGTAGCATATCTCTTTGGACTTTCTCATGAGGACAATGAGAATGAAGACGAATCTCTTGCTTATGAAGCTATAGGTATCCTGAATAAAATATTGAACAAAAACATTAAATATCTTTCAAAACTAGATTACAAACTTTGCTTTTCGAACCTTATTGACCATTCAAAAACACTTGATAAGGCATTACTAAACGAAGTGATAGCTGCATTTAAAAAGTTGAAGGAAATCCTAGGCGAGGCAGAATACTCAAAATACCTCCAAGGATATCTTGATATCCCCAATCACTCTCATATGGGTAACGTACTTGATGTCTACTCCATCATTTTTGAAGACATGAAGAAACTCCCAAAAAGATTTGATTATGAATCTACGATTAAAGCCCTAAGCACGATCTCTAAAAATAACAAAGATGATGTTGGCCAGAAAAGTTCTCAGATGCTAGACAAAATATTCAAGTTACTCACAAGCGACGATAAGAAATCCAAAGCTCAAGTAAGATGTAAATAACCTTACAAAATAGGCTTATAAACTCCTAGAACAGTGATACAATGACATCAGTGGGCTTAACAAAGGTGAACTGAAAAAGCACTCTTCTTATCCCACACCAAAGAAAACCAGCAAGTCAATGTACTCTAATCCATCCAATATGGTATACTTATTCAAATAATTCTAGCCTGATAAGCCTTTAAATCCTGACCAAAACTCTACAGGAAAACTGCACTCATTAAATTCAGCTTCCAATCTAAAAATCTCTAAGAAATCTAGCTTATATTCTTCAAACGTAATCTTGAGTGATAAAGAGTACAAAAAGGTGGCCCAAATGGGAAGAAAAGGTAAAATCTATTCCTGAGTCATAGAAATGTTAAATATACACAGCTCTATGGGAAGACTACCCACAATTGAAGAGAAGCTACCACCTCTGAAATAAATCTGTCTCAAAAGACTTCAACAGGAATTTTGATAAGCCAAAGAAGCATAATAAGCTTAATATGAAAGAGATTAATGGAAACCGAAATAATATTAAACAGATTATTCTAACAAGTAGGAGCACAAAGAAATTAGGTATTTCATGTATTTAATAACTCCAGAAGCAAGTAAGAAAAGTCCTAAGATGTACAAAAAGAAAGGCAAAGATATCGATCCCAGTGTACATAGCTCACCTTCTAAACTTCCCTCACTTAAATAGAGAATGGTAGATTTAAGAAACTCATTCTGAAATGTTTCAATAGACAGTGAAGAAGTAGGGGTTTTGGGGTTTTGGGGTTTTGGGG